AACTATCAACTATCTGACAGCTGCAAACTGTTCGTCAACTGATGAATGTGAATGCCGGCGCCATATTTCTATTAAAGAATATTTTGTATGACGGATTGTTCGGTTGGAGCCAGGACTGTGACGAGACGTGACTGATGTGTCTGAATCGACCTTTAGACATCGTACCCAATTTTCGTGCCGAACAGTAGTTTAATACCAGACTCCTCTCTCTGACTTCGTACTCATACTCAAGTAATATTGTTCTTACACGCGCTTACGTAAAGCTTACCTTCGTACACATTCAGGCAAAAAAATAGTTAGTGTTAGTTAAATACTTTTGTAAACTACAATCTTTTTTAACTAAAGTGCAACGTAAAATAAAGTGCCATTAAATACAACAAGCATTATTATTACCAGTTCGACTCACAAAATTGTTTGGACAAAGGATTATTTAATCCAAGTCCACATACTTCCAACGTCTGCCCTCTTCTTTTGTTGTAGAAAGGAGACAATTTACAACAATTAGCTTGTATCCTGGATATTTAGGTCAAAATCCAACGTGGAACATTGAATCCTTTCAAATATTCTATCACATAGGCAGGACTCATAGAGTTTTTATAAAAGAGGTTAAGCGTCCTCAGGAACGGAATGTAGTTAGCTTTTTATGTCGTGCAGTTTTGCTTCTGACAAAGATTTACCATCAAACTAAAGCTATACAAGCTTAGTCATCAAGTTGTCTACGTTTAGTTATCCCGTAGCTCTATATTCAAACATTACGTGATTTACATCAAAATTACACATCATAAAGATGTGTTTTATCATTATCATTTTGGGTTTATAACCCTGCGAAGGTTCTGGCCTCCTCAAGAATTTCTATTCAGTCGTCCCTATCCATCGCCATCTGCCGCTAAACACATATTCCCATATTTCTCATGTCTTCATCGATGCTATCAAAGGAATCTTGTTCTGGGCCATCCTCTTCTTCTCTACCAATGTGTCTATCAGAGAGTGTTTTTCTAGGTAGATTATTTTGTGTGTATATACTCTTAAGAATTTGTCTTGTTTCTAATCAGTTGATTTTTTCTTTGTTGATGTCATTTTTTTCTTAACTGTTACCTTTTTAAATTTTTGTGTGCTGAAAAATATTTAATAACAAGAATTTATTATATATAAATAGTCCAAAGGAGTATATATATTCATTCATGACGCTTTAATTTAGCATTTTATGTCACCAAAATCTTTATCGTTTGGTACAAAGGTATGGCTAGAAATCAAGAATTTAAAGGATATAGTTTTTAAAATAGCACTGGCCATGAGTTGCGTGATTTTAATATAGCCATACTAACGTTTATATAGAACAAACCACAAAATGTTTAACGTTATACGCTCCCAGCTATAGTTGCTTCAAGCTATTAAGAATAAATTTTATTACATAACATCTGCCTGCATATACGCTTATTTAATATTGAATAGCTTCTGGTGTACAAACGCTTTTCAGTATTTCTTCCGTATAATATTACCTTTGAAAGTTTGGAAGATATATTATATTGCTAATCAAATACAGTGGAACCTGGTTATGGCGTCATTGAAGGTCCAGTAAAAAAATGACGCTATATCAAAGTGACATTATAAAAGAGATAAAAAAAATTAAATTTTAACGAGGCAAAATTTTATTACAGCATTATTTATTATTAAAGGTGCATTTAGGATAAAAAATTAAGAAATAAAACATATCATGTACATAAAACTTACATTTTTATGAAAAAGTTATCTAATGCTGAAAAAGTCAGTTATTTTCCCCTGCACAACCCTTTCCGAAAAATAAAGTTTTTCTGCAGTGTCCTCAATAATCTGATCTGCTTCTTTGATAGTTGTGGATGCCTCCCTAAACTGGTAAAACCTAGATATGGTCTCAGCAGCTCTCATTGCTTCTTGGATTGTAGGACAATCAATGCCGTCTTCTTCTTCTTCTTTATTATCTTCATCAACATCCATTTCCACATTTTGCACTTGTTCCACAATTTCTTTGTCAAGGTAAGCTTTTATTAAATTTAAGCCGCTAACTATATAACCGCAATCTTTCCTTCAATCTCCACTACAGGATATTTAAATGCTGTGGATGGTCCATATTGATATACGGCATAGAGACGTGGACGTTAAAAATACCTTCCATTAACAATTTGGAAGCCTTTAAAAGTTTGAGAAAGTCTTAAGAAGGGCACATACTGAGAAAGAATTACTCAACTTGATCAAAGTACGAAAAATTGGATACCAGGCCATATCCTGAGAGGTAAAAAATACGCAATCCCTCAACTAATTATCCAAGGAAAGATTTAGGGCCAGAGTGGAGTAGGTCGCAGACAAATGTCACGGCTACTGAATATGAGGAACTGGACAGGCATAAATAACGCTGGCCAGCCTTTGCATGCCGCAAAAGACAGACGCCTGGCCTTAACATAATTATTCGCCAACGCCATGCACGATACTATATAGAAGATATATATATATTATATATATATATATATATATATATATATATATATATATATATATATAATATATATATATTTATTATATATATACGTATATGTAAATACTTTTTTCTTTTTGGGTGTGGTAGTCAATAAAAAATAGAGCTTTGCTAAGGCGTACTATTTATTCTGAAATCCGAGCTTTCGGTGGTTGTTTGCCACCTTTATCAAGGTCTACAATGAAAATTACTGTGTTATAAACTTTGGCTGATGCAATATAAAAGTTATAAAAACTTACCAGAAAGTAAGATTCATAGCATATAAAACACAACGTTAAATAACATAATGTGATCTGAATTACTGAAGGCATTAAAACTGTTAAAAATTTTAAAATAACTTAAAAATTAAAGAACATGTTACAAAGTTTAAAATGTAAAAAATAAGACGACATGTTTGACAAAAAACAGTCGTCTTCGCAGGTTTGAATTCAGTCACATCTCACGAACAGAAAGAGGCAGTAGGAGGAACTATTGTTGTTTAAATAGTTCGATGTAACTACAAAAAACAAACTTTCAAACTGATGTCTAACAAAATACCGTTTGTGATTTTAAGTACTACCAACCATATTACCAACTTTAAATTGAGAGGGAAATTTAAAAAAGTTCATTATGTCAAACAATAAAAAGAAAATAGTATTTAGTAAGTAGGTTTAGAAAAAACAAACAACCAAAAACAAAATGAACCATCTGAATAATAACTGAAGTTAATCATGATAATTATAGCAATTAATAAAGGAATTTAAGAAACAAGACAGGAAACACTCTGAGATGCAGAAGACCCTAGTCAAAAGTCAAAATAAAATTGTAAATTTTGCTAAGATTCTGGATCTCAGATCTTTTATTCAGATTGTTGTTATCACTCCTGCTGATATGTACCATTTCTAAGAATGTTCTCTTAAATTTATTTTTCTCTCTGGCTAATATTTTTACATTGTTGAAATCTATCTTATGGTCTAGATCGATAGTATGTTCTGCCAAAGCACAAGTGGGTTTATTTAGTCTACAGTCACTCTTATGAGAAATGATACGACTAGACAGATTTCTTCCAGTTTCACCAATGTACGTGGATGGACATTCAGTACATTGAATGCAATAAACAACATCTCTTGACTCTAAAGTAGTTAGGGGTTGTTTTATTTTGCTATACAGCTGACGTATGGTTTTGATGTTCTTGTTAGCTATTTTGATGTTCTTAAATTCTTTGAAAATTTTAGTAAGTTCTACGGTTAGTTTTGGAATATACGGAAGGGCATAAAAATACACACTTGTTTGAGAAGAATTGTTTTGTGCTGAGGGCACTGATTGTGAATTAGTGAGAATGTTATTTCTGTTAACAAATGGAACATTAAAAATTAATTTATTAATCAGTCTTAGAGGATATGAATTTTCAACAAAAATATTCCGTAAGAGGTTAAGATCATGTTGGAGATAATCTGGATGTGATAACCTTTTGACACGTTCTTTCATTGCTAGGACTAGGTTGGTTTTCATTCTAGGAGGATGGTGGGAATGGTAGCTTATGAATCTATTGCTACATATAGGTTTTCTATACCATTGTGTTTTCACAACATTATCCTCACATCTATGCAAACTCATGTCAAGGAAGGGCAAAGATCCCTCCCGCTCTTCCTCGCATGTGAATTGCAAGTGTGGGTTTTGTTGGTTGAAAACATTTAACGTAAATTGTATAGAGTCTGCTGGTAGTGCCAAGATTAAGTCATCCACGTATCTCTTTATAAAAGGTATTTCAAAATTGATTTGTTGCAAACAATCTTTAATCAAGTCGTCTAAGACATAATTACAAAGAATTGGTGAAATGGTGGAACCCATTGGAGTACCAAAGACTTGTTTGTAGTAACAGTCATTAAAAATAAAAACATTAGAGTCAAAAACAAAAGAAATGAGTTTTTTGATATTAGATAAGTTAAGAGTTGTGTGCATTGATATGTCGTCCCAGTGTTTCTCAACACTAACCAAAATTGTGTGTAAAGGTAAATTAGTAAACAAAGACACTACATCAAAACTAACGAGCTTATAATTGATAGGTAATTTTAAGTTATTAATAAAAGAACTGAAACTGAAAGAGTCCTGAATGCAGAAATCATTGTTGTTACTGTAGGTTTCTGTGAGAATATTGGTTAAAAAACTTGCTATGGGGCCATTAGGTGTACCTATTGAGGACACTATTGGTCTCATAGACAAAGTAGGTTTATGAATTTTTGGGAGTGCATAAAATCTAGGAGCAATTGCATTATAAATTTTCAATGTTTTCCCAACTGATTGATCTATTTGATTCTCCTTTACCAAATCAGAAACTAGTTTATTAGCCTTTTGTTGCAGAGTACACACGGGATTGTTGTTTAACTTTTTATAATATTTAGTGTCTGTTAATAAGTCTTCACATTTTTGTATATAGTCCCTAGTGTACATTGCTACAGTGACATTGCCTTTGTCGCTCTTTTATTTATATATATATATATATATATATATATATATATATTAATATATTATATATATATATAATTTCTAAATTATTTTAAATATGGTTAACATTTTAACATAAACTTTCGTATTTTCAGCAACATCAAAGGATGAGTTGCAAAATAATATTGGACACCACTGGCCCTGTAAACCCAGGGGCGACAATATATGGAAGAATTGAATGTATAGTAAACACTGAGCAATTTATTAGAGGTAGGAATTTATAATATTAAATAATAATATTAATATTAAATCATTTTATAATAATAAAATACCATTTTTGTGAAAAATTATACTGAAATGATGCTTAACGTAAAATATTCCGGATGCAAATACAGCCTCCGTACGTAGAGAATATATTTGTTGTTTCGCCAGCATTCTAAAATTTTTGTAGTAGCTAAAATTAATTAATTTGATATAAATAAATAAAACAAATATTCTGCCCTAACTTAAGACAAAAAAATCTAGATAGCACTAAAATCAATAGTAGTTTGACAGTTTGGCAATGTATATTTTTTATCATGGCAACTTTTGTCTTTAAGTTTGACAATAAATGGTATTTACCATTAACATTGAACCACAATTCCGAAATGCGAAAGTTCCGAACCGCTCTTATATACATTAGGTCGCTTTAGATATAAGAAACCCTAATAGTATTTAAGGTCTGCCTACTTTTCTTGTTTGAAGACCTCAAGTAGAGACAAACCTCAAACCAGATGGTCTGATGACATCAAGCGAATGGCTGGTCACAAATGGATTCAAGAAGCAATAAATATAATTGAATGGACACACAAAGAATATAATATCCACATAAGCAAAATGGAGGAGACCCGTGTCGTCAAAATAGCAAGAGATAAGTCACCAATCGGCAAACGAAGTATCGGACGACCGCGCAAAAGATGGAATGACAACCTTCCATGGAGGTATTAATGCGTCAATGAACAAGCAGAATGGCTTATAAAGAGGAAGAAGAATAAGAATGGTCACACCTAAGAGATGGAATAGCTGTTGATGATGATAAATATTATTTGAAAGACCATTGATCTCTTATTTAGAAAAGTTTTCTGTGTGTATATGTGGGTCATGACATTAGACCAAATCTAGTTCCCACAAAACATATAAATTATTATTTATTTGAACGTTTTCATGTTTTCTATTTTGTTTAAACTATGCTACTATTTTTGCGTTTCTCGTCAAATTAATGATGGAATCAGATTAGATTAAGAGAGGTAGCTTTTCGGCCTATTCCACTGCGACCTTTTCAGATCTATTGTCGTCCTCTAGTCCTAGATAACATTCTCTAGCCTGACCCTCTTTATAAAGTCTAGTAGCTTCGAGACTGTACCTTCCATGTAGCTATTTGCCGGTGGATTTTCTTCTCCTAATGCAAAAAACCGCACATTTGCCAGACTGTCACACTGACATAAAATGTGCTCTGCTGTTTCTTCTTCGAGGTGACAGAATCTGCACAGGTCATCATCTGATAATCCCATTAGCTTCAAGTGCCTATTCAGCTTACAATGCCCTGTTAGAAGACCTACTATGGCTTTGACTGTTTTCCTGTCTTTGCTAATTAGGTCTGCCGTACATTTTGACGAATGTTCTCTAATGAACTGTTTCGCCTGTCTTTGTCCTGGTGAATTCCTCCACCGTTCCAGAGATTTGTGAGCTACCGACTTTGTAGCCGTTCTTGTTACTGACTTTGCAATGCCGCAGAAGGGTTCCGGTCCAATGAATGGCATTGATGAGCCTTGTTTGGCCATTTCATCTGCTTTTTCATTGCCCTTATGACCCTCGTGCCCCGGTACCAGGCTACCGTAACCTTGCTACGGTCTCCTAGTTTATTTAGGGCACACACGCAATCCCATACTAGCTTAGAATTGACCTCTACAGAATTGAGTGCCTTAAGCGCTGCCTGACTATCTGTGAAGATGGCAACTGAACAGAACGTTCTTTCCTGCCTTTCTATTTCTTCCACGCAGTGATGGATTGCAGTTATTTCTGCCTGGAAAATTGTCACATCCTTAGATAGACTTACCGGGAAATGTATCCCTTGATTTGTCCCTACTATGCCGGCTCCAACACCCTCCGATGTTTTTGAGTCATCCGTGTACCAGGTAGCAGCAGCTTTTATGGGTACATCTTTATTCCAGTCTTCCCTGCCTGGTATCTTAATTGTGAATTTATTGTTAAAGCTATATCTAGTAGCTGTTGCATCGATATGTTTCCCCATCACAATATCGGCTTTTAGCTCCTCGATTAGCTTTCTGTTGTCAGTACCATGCATTTGGCTTATATGTCGCTGACTATAAATTAATCTGTGCATCATTGATCTGGCTTCGCCCTGTATAAAGATATGAAGTGGTGGTAAATTCAACCGGACTTCCAACGATGCAGTAGGAGTTGTTTTTATGGCCCCGTAATAAGCAGGCATGCTAGCCTTTGTGTATTATAGGTTACCATGGGTTTACTAACCCTTGTGTATAACCATAGAGTCATTTTGGGGTTCAGTCCCCAATTCTTACCGCACATTCTTCTACATCTGCCCAGGGACATAGTAGCTTTCTGTGTGGTTTTTAAAATGTGAGTATTCCATGTAAGCCTATGATCAAAATATACCCCAAGGTATTTTATTTCTTTGGCAAATGAAATCTCTCTTCTTCACAGCACCGGTGGTTTTAGGCCTTGTAGTGCTTGGTGATTTGTGTTTTCCGAGCATTGACTATCAGTCTCTCTTCTTTACACCAGTCGTCAACTATATTTAGGGCTGCTTGCATTCTCCCAGACACCACCTGAGCAAACCTGCCCCTGACGACGATTGCTATATCGTCAGCATATCCTAGACAATAGAAGCCTTTCTGTGGACAAATTTCTGAGGAGATCATCTACCAAGGTTGCCCAAAGTAGATGGGACAGAACTCCTCCTTGTGGACAGCCTCCACCTACTTTTGCTTTGATGGTTGCTTTACCCAGAGTGGACATTACTATCCTATTCTCTAGGGATGCCCTTATCCATCTGCATATTACCGCAGGTGCGCCTCGTCTACTCATAGCTCCTATCAAAGAGCTGGTGGCATTATTTAATGCCCCTTCTATATCTAAGAAGGCGGCCATTGTTATCTCTTTGTCTTCCATTGATTTTGAGATAAGCCTATTTAGATCATCTAACGCAGAGTCCGTAGATTTACCAGATTGGTATGCATATTGACGATTGCTTAGAGGATTATCTTTGAGAATGAAGATAATGAGGATTATCATCACTCTCAGAGATGAAGTGCTCATAGAGGAGCACTTCATCTCTGATGTACCTATCAAGAAGCCTTTCCAGCGTTTTTAATAGAAAAGAAGATAGGCTTATCGGTCTATATGACTTTGGTGTTAGGTCTGATACTTTACCTACCTTAGTATATGACTTAAACCTTTTGCCATATTTCCGTACGACTCACCATGCTAAACTGGCTTTGAGGAGTTTACATAGATATGGTATCAATACCTCTAATCCCATATGCAACACTATTGGATATATGCCATCCGTCCCTGGAGACCTATATGGCCGAAACTTATTTATAGCCCATCTAATTATGTTTGGTCTTGTGATTGCTGTGGCTATTTCCCAATCTGTAGACCTTGACCTAGTGAGACTTTGGTCTACGTTGGTTTGCTAATCTGTATCATTCAGAATTGTTGAGCCCGAAAAGTGCGTGTTTATCAGTTCTCTAAGACTTTCCTCTTTGGTGTCCGTAAATTTGCCATTAGCTTTCTTTAGGAAACCTACTTCTTTTGTTGTAGCACCATCCTTTGCCAGGAGTTTATGGATTCGAGAACATGCCGGGATATCTGTAATCTCCTCGCAAAACTCTCTCCATGAATTTCTTTTAGCTTTCCGGATTTCTTTATTGTATAGCGTTAGCTTATACCTGTAGGCATCCAAATCTTGGTTACTTTTGGCTTTATTAAATAGGCTTCGGACTTGCGACCTCACCCTCTTTAAGCCGTTGTTCCAACAGACTGTATTACTGCCCGTACTTTTCCTTTTTTTTCTTGACAGTTTTCCTGGTAAGCCGCCATAATAGCTTTGCTTATCGTTTCTGCCGCCGAATCTATAACCTCTGGGCCTTTAAACAAAGTCATACTTTCCTCGAGATTTTTACTGAGGGACTCCATATATCCTACCCATTTTGTATTTCTAGGATTTCTGTATTTAATTTCCAATGGAAAAATATCAAGGTCAAATCTATATGTCTGTGATCCGAACATGAGGGTTCGTCAGACACAACCCAATTTGTTATTATATCACTTATCTTGCTTGTGCAGAGTGTTAAATCTAACACTTCTTTGCGTACCTTAGCGACAAAAGTTGGCTTGTTTCCTATATTGGATATAACCAAACCTTAATAACCTAACCATATGGTGTGTTGCACCACACATCACATCCTATAATGAGCTGTAAGCTTATAATGATAGATGGTCACAAAGCCTCATCACCTGGAAAGTAGGCTGAACACACCACCAGTTTCTTCTCTCCTACTTCCGTGGTTATAGTTAGAACAGCTGTAGCAATATCATCGGTGCAGAGCACCGGGATTAGTGTACAATCTACTCTATTACTATGAATTATACACGACCTTGGCCTTATAGCTTTGGGTGTCTATAAAACTTTACCTTGTTTGGTTGATAGGCCAGCAATCTTCTCACCTATCCTCCAAGGCCCCTGCAGGAGGGCCACATCAATGCCTTCTTGTTCCACCCTTCTAACAAGCGTTGCCGATGCGGCTTTTGCATGTTGAAATTGGCCTGCAGGAGCCTTATTTCTCTCTTCATTGCGAAGAGATGGCCGGTTTTGGATCTGTGGACATTCCTTCTTCCATGGGTCCGACACAGCCTTGGACGCTTGTCCTTATGAGTGTGTCGGCTCCACCTGAAGAAGGTTGTTCTTTTTCCTGAACCTCCATATGAAGGAAGGTTTCTCCTGTTTCACTGGAACGAGTTGCTACTGGATTTTCATTCCGTGTTTTTGTCTTCCCTACTTTGGGTCGGAACGTTAACCGTCCTACTCCGAAAAACGGTGATATTTTTAATTTCTGGAGTTCTTCTCGAGATTCAGAATCCACTGAGAAGATCCATAACACCCCTTTGTCTGAAGGTTTACTACCCCAGACTGTCCATAGATTTGTCCTGAGCCCATGGTTACTTATCCTTAATCTGTTAAGGATCCTTTTGGACTCAAGACGTTCTCCATGCTCGTCCTGTACGAAGATAGTGCACGAGTGCGGCTTGGGTATGTCTTCCCCCTCCACAGCCCTGAGAGATGCATGCTCCCAAGGCCTCAGGGTTGGAATCACCTCCTTTAGACACCGAGCACTTATGTCGTCTGCACAGTTAAGTTCCAAAAAACCCGGCCTGTATGTACTCTTCAGGAAGCGAACTTGTGGTCCTGCTTACGAAATTTTGTTATACGTACCCAAGATGGCTATTTCGACTGCCTTAAGCTTGTCTACATCCATCTTGGCTTCCGAGAATCCTGTTAGTATAACTGCAACCTTAACAGAAGCGGCAGCTTCGCTGAAAGTCACATCTTCGGTTCTTGGCCTTTTCCCTTTGCGTTGGCTTTCGGGTGGTGTGCTTCAGTCTGACCTTAGCCTTTTTGGGCCATCGATCTTCTGGGTTTGTAAAACATTTGTCATGGCCTCTAATGGCTTTGACGGCATCTCTTTTGCTCTTTCAGCTGCCTTGATGAAATTGGCCTTGATTACAGCCCTTTTGGCTTGAACGTAATCTGGCCTTGTTTCACCAGTTTACTGATTTTGGCTTTAGAGACGCCAGATAGCTTTGCAGCCCTAATTTCTTATTTCTTTTTGTTTCCTTGCCTATCAGCTTGGGAGATTTCTTTAGAAATTCCGAGCCCTTCGGCGTTCGGATTTTCTCCAGAAGCTCCCTGTCCTCCGGCTTTAGGAACTGTGATTTTGGCTCTGGAGTTCCCTGGCTCTTCGACCTCGGGAACCCTTTCGCCCTGAGTTTTATCTTTATTTTTATTTGTTTTTTTTTAAGATTCCATATTGATCCCACGAGTAGCTAGGGAAAGACAGTCAACCCTCGCAGAGCTCCGCTTGCGGGGGTAAGGTCTAAATACTATGGAGTGCAACCTGTTGCCCCAAAGGAACCGTTTGCGACACTGTCACCCCAGTGCCTTACAGTCTTCACCACGATGTCTCACTGCTTGGCGTGGGGATTGTTTATCGACTATCTAGTCTAGATCCGCTGAGTTTAGTTTCAACAGGGCCACCACGTGAAGGGTGCAATCAAAGATTGATTACACACCCCAATCATTGTTGGGGGTACCCAGCGGTCTTGGGATAGTTTAAGGAGGTGCAAAGTCCTAAGACTCTCCGTGCAAAACTTGTCCCCTGAGATTTGTTCTTTTCCCGCTCAGCTTTACGCCGATTAGAAGAAGAGCGCATCCCCCGGCCCCATGATGGAATCAAGTACTAGTTTATCTGAAGAAGAGAGTAGAGCTGTAATATTTAATGACAATGGAAACTGATTATAAATTAGTTTTTGATACAGGCTTGAAGAGAACTCAAAGTTCAAACAACATTCGAGAAATTTTCCGCAGCAAGATGAATCGCTATGCAACTTTTTGCATCCGATTCGGGGAAGTGTCAAGAAAGTTTGTGAATAAAATTCATGGTGGTAGAATGAAAATTGCATTTTGTGCTTAAGGAAAATGCATTTTCAAAGTGCATAGAATAGAAAAATTTTGTAACTCGAAAAATATCGACGGGAATGAGTTCCATTTTGTTACTAGGAGGTTTTCGGGGTCGCTGAACACGAATATGGACCTCGTTTTCTGGAGTATGTTAATTTAATTCTGAATCAGTCGACAATCATTACTGGAGGAGTTTTCAAGGTAACTGAATACAAACATGATAACGACAATGGTTGTCGTGCTACATACCTGGTGCCCAAGGTGGATCTTGTTTCTTGGAGTTTTATGTTATTTTCATTCGAAATCAGTCGAGAGGCATTACTCTGGAGGTTTTCGAGGTCGCTCAACACAAATAGTATGACGGCGTTGGTCCTCGAGCTACCTGGTTAAGAGTGGACCTCGTCCTGTGGAGTTTTATGTTATTTTCTTTCGAAATCAGTCAAAAGTCATTATTTCGGTATTTTAGGTATTTACTTAACACGTTGGAAATGCATTTTCCTTATGCACAAAATGCAATTTTCATTTTACCTCCATGAATTTTATTCACAAACATTTCTGACACTTTCCCAAATCGAATGCCTAATTGCAAAATTGGTAAGCTTAGTGCTTGATTGCCTCGCCTAGTCAAAAAAACGGACAGGAGAGTTAAGTATTAAAATTTTATATAAGTGGACTAGAAAGTGACGATCATTTAGTCTTAAACGAGTTAAGGCTGACATCTGTGTATGTAGGGTAAATACTAAAATAACGACTAGTAGATTTATTTGCATTTTTTTTATAATCAACTTTCTATGTTCATCTGATATTAGGTTTGAGAGCATAAATCAATTCTCTTATATTAAATACTTTAATATGTCGATATAAGTTCTTTTTTGGCCATATCAGCAACCATTACCTTCGACTCCACAATGTCCTTTCGTACAAATAAACCAAAGGGTTACATTATTTTGCTTAAGATCCATAATTATTTTTTATATCCAAAATAGTGGGTAACTGCTAATGGCTTTAAGTACTAGATTCTAAAATTATTGCTAGACTGGTACATGAATTAATTGCACGCTATTTTAATGCCTTTTTAATAGCAAAAGACTCGACGATAAAAAGCGAATAATTTGAGAGTCTGTGATTTTAAATATGATTTATCATTGAAATTTATTCAATTTATGATTGAAACAAAAAATGCAGAACCTGTATTTCCTTTGGATTTTGAAGCATCTGTAATATTTTAGTTAAGTTCGATCGAAGACAATTCATAATGGATTTTATCATGGCTTGGTTTAGCTATTACATTCTGAATACTGCGGTATGGTGCTAAATTTGTCTGTATCTGTGTACATTTTATTAAGTTGAACAATATCGATTTGATATCTATCAATAAAAGCATCTGCTAAGGCAGGAGAATTTTTATTTTTCCAATAGTGATTTATCAAATTTTCAATTGAAAGAAAGTTAATTACGATTAACTCACTACTGTAACATCTATATTTTATTAGACTTTTCTTTGCTAACAACTTCGAAAAATAAGAGTTCTTGAGACGGCTAGAATAATGTGGGGATATGAGGATTAATTTGTCAATATGGTATCAAAATCCTGTTCATATAATGGTATCATATTAAGTTAAACAATATTGATTTGATATAAGTTTGTATCAATAAAAGCATCTGCCAAGGAAGGAGATTTTTTCTTTTTTCAATAATGATTTGTCAAATTTTTACTTGAAAGAAAGTTTATTCCGATCAAATCACTGCTGTAACATATACATTTTATTAGACTTTTATTTGCTAAACACTGCCTTCAAAAACTTAAAGGAAGCTCTTGAAACTCTTCTATAATGGCATGATTTGATAAAAATACCATTGCTCTCAAAAATATTTGTAGATAATAGATCAAGATCCAATGGGTTAGTGTTAGAGGTAGAACCATAGAAAGAATATCCATAATCCAAAAGCGAGCGAATTAGTCCGAAATTGTTCTATGATGTGGCCCGAAAGGGTCTTTTTAATTATGTACCTTTTGTAAAGGATTTTTAAATAAAACTTTTATGATTCATGGTAGCCAACTACGGGAATTTCATTTTCCTTGTGGATATAATTAATACATAAAATCAGATATTTTATAAAATATTATCAAAAATTTATACAGAGCTTAAATTTACAGGAAATTTCTATTAAAAATAGGAAAGTTGGTGGCGACTTCTGCTATATAACCGCAATTATTTTGGACGCATAGACCAACTAAAATTATGCTAAAATATACTGCAAATTTTTTTATTTAGAAACCAATTATATTTTCACTAATAATTGAAATTACTGCTGTGTAATATTTAATTTGCCATTTCATATTAAAGCAAATTTGTCTTTACCTTGTTTCAGAAATACGATGTAAATTGGTTGGTAATGAACATACTACTATTAAATCGGCAAAAGACACTTACGAGGGGCACAATGAATTTTTAAATCTTAAAATGAGCTTAATCGGAGAAGGTAAGTCGGACAAATTTTTATGAACAAATTAGCAATTATTTATATCAAACATATTCATGATGTATGAGATGATGGACAATGGCTTCTCTGAACGTATCTAATTAAATAGCATAATTCTGTAGTCAGCAAGATCAAGGAAATTTACACGATAGAAAGAAAAAATAATTTCAGTAACCCTGCAGCTAGCAAACAAAATCAAGAGGATAAGTTAAATAAAATACAGACAATTTAAACCAAATATTCTTCGTAAATATTAACAACTATTCCATTCATTGTCAGATGTAAGCCTTCCTATGTGTGTTTGTTCGTTTCTGTTGCTTGTTTTTTACATCTATTCGTGACAAGTAATTCGTTTGTTGTCATTCGTTCTCTTGTGTCTTCGAAATCAATTTTAACATGAGAATGTGTTAAATTACATCTGTTAACTTTGATTTTATCTGTCTGTATTAGGTATCTGGTAGCTTTTCCATTGACTGAATAATTTATAATATTCTATGTTCCATGACAAGCTGAGTCATCTAGAGTTTGTAAATTATTTATATACATATATCTAAATGAAAGACCTCATTTAGATTTCATATATTAGAACGTCATATGTTTTTATGTGTTTAGTGTTTTATTGTATCGATCAATAGATGCTAGGTCCCTCAGTAAGTGCAAAATATATCAATTAAGTATTTTTTATTTTAAGATAAAAACAGGACTGGGATATACTGATCCCAACAATGTGTAGAATAAATTTATACCAATAGTATCGACACGATTATTCAATTTAAAGTATAAATTTAATCTAGTCATATTTGGGTAATATGTATAACTTAATACGTGGTATGTGATCCAAGCCACTCGATGTGTTTTTTTACACCAAGACAATGATTATGTTGAATTTGTGCAGAAATCTAATGTTTAATTCATATCTCTGAGACATTCTATCTTCTACATTCTTCTCTTTTATTTTTTTTGCTGTTAAAGCTCTTAGTGTAAATTTTCTCTGCTTTTCTTTATCTGTAATGTCAAAATCAGTAAAATTTTCGATATAATCCAAAAAACGTACAGGAAAATAAAAATTAAATTTTTAATTTTTAACTTTAAAACATTAACGATTTTTTAAATTACATCCTATAAAGTAAAATATAACGAACGTTTTAAGAAACTCTTTTTTTTTCTATTTCGGTTTCTTAAAATTTATGTTTTAGGTACATTGGAACCCGGCCAACACGAGTACCCATTTTGTTTTACCATACCCAAGGATCTTCCTAGTTCGTTTCAAACTGAGTATGGTTTTGTGCGATATTTTATCAAAGCTACAGTTAATATTCCGTATGCCTCGGATTATATTGATGAAGTAGCTATACCTGTTACCGCCATAATAGACCTTAACAATATTAAGGAGGAGCTGCAAACGGTAAATTTTTCATAAAATAAAAATCTAAAAAAGAACTCTGGAAAAGTTCGTAGACGTTTCAGCGAAATACCATCCGTCATTTTCGATATGTAGTATGTAAGGTACTATAACCTGTTATAAGTAATAGTAGAGGGGAAAGTGCTAATATGAGCCCCCATTTTGTTTTTTTTTTAATATTTTTTCTTTCTTTCATGATAGTTATGTGAAATAACAGATATACTTAGATTCAACATTTATTTTATTAATAGTACTGACCAGTTATGTACTTAAAAAAAAGCTTTCGGAAAATCATATATTAAATTCAGAGTGGCCCAAAAGTCTGGAAACGGCCAATTATCTCGTAAATTGCTAGTTATAATTGTACAAAATTTGAGGTACACCTATTTTGGGATACGGAGATTCCATATTTGATATTTGCAATGTTGCCAGATTTTCCATTTCTCTTATATTATTAGTAACTTTGGTTTTTTAAATGCATCACCCTGTATATTTAGTCATTATTGGAATCTCCTATTCAATACGAGTTCAACCATATGTAACACTTATGATTTTATGTAGTCTGAAAGGTCTTAAATACATAAAACACAAGTCTGGCAACGCCTAATTGTTTCAATAAATTTTTTAATACTAATTATTTTCAACTACATTAAAACTTAACAATTGATAGATTAGAACATTTTTTAACAATAGTTACGTTATTAAGTGTTCAAAATGTGCTCAATTTATGAGTTGACAGTACCCTAATCGATGGTAGAATGCGTCTATCACATTTCTCCATGATTGTCTAGAAATTATTTGAGATTAATCGATAATTCGTTGCCTTTGCTCTGCAAGACTGCTTTTCTGGTCAACTATAAATGCCACTTCATTATAATGATGAGGATCACTGATACCACACAGACGAATGTTCGGATACAACAAACGTTAGAAATTAAAAGATAGTCCGATCGTATTGAGCTCTGTAACCACTTTAACATCTGCTCTAATGATACTTAAACAGCAAACGATACAGCTCTTCTGTATTTTCCAAACTTATAGCAAACCATACGTTACTGCGATTTACATAAAATTAAATACTTATTTGTATTTTCAGAAACCCATTTCATTTCAAAATGAAAAGACTGTGTGCTGTTTATGCTGTGCCGGTGGGGAGATTTCCATGACCTTACGCTTAGAAAAGGACGCATTTATCTTAGGAGAAGAAGCAAAAATCATATTAGACGTTTCTAATATGTCAAGAATCAGCATAGAAGAAATAAATTTAACACTTATTAGGGTATGAAAGAGTTATATAACCCGTAAGCAAATAATTTAATTTATAATAATAGTCTCCCGTTTTATACCGCACGCGGCTTTGGGAGTATAGCAGGGTAGTCTGCTATATCTAGGGCCTACGGTATACAAGGAAGGTAACATGGCCAGTGCTACGCTTCAACCGCCTATTATTACCCCTGGTTTTACCAAGGTACTCATTTTATTCAGGCTGAGTCGACCTGGGGCCTATAGACATTTTAAAAATGCCTAGTTGTTCTTGCCGGCGGTAGGATTCGAACTCACGACCTCCGGCATGCGAGGCAAGCACACTACCGCTTGCGCTACGCAGGCCGCAGGCACGTAATTTAATTTACGTTAATTATATAGTAAAAGAACCTACTACTAAGCAATAAAGAACTAATTATCACAATAGGAGTTGTAAAAATAAAGTAATTAATGTTCAAATTGACATCAAAAATCAAATTAGGGATAGAGTATGGATAATTATTTTCAGATCAAAATAGGGTAGGGGAGAGTAATAATAAACCATTATTTCAGAAATGCCATTTTACAGCGCCAGTCAACATACCACCATTTCATTCGTGACCTCTTAAAAGTTACAGTAATAAACTGTTTAATTAAGGTAAGAAGTTACTTTTTATATAGTTTTGCTGACTTATTAGAAGTAATTGTTGAGTTGTGTCAATTTGCAAGTGTATGCGTAAAATTCCACAGTTAAGTTAGTCTAACTTCAAATAGTCGTGTCTGAAAACTAAAAATTAAATATGATTATTTGCATTTGTTTACAACAATTCTACTTGGTACACAATGAGACACCGGGTGATAGTACACAATAAGACTGTCCCATTCTGTACTACTAAAATGTGTACCAAATGTTTATGCCATAATGATATATTGTATAAGTAGAATGAAAGTTTATTATGTTTGTTACAGACATGGTGCGCAAAGAAAAACCAAGGAGTCGAGCGACATTGAGCTCCGATGATATGGCAAGTGCCGTACAAGATGTTTTGGACGGAAAATCATTAAGAATTGCTGTCGTTGAACACGGAGTAAAATTTCAGATATTACAAAGATATGTTCCAAAAAAACGTACTAATCCAGATGATGATCGAATGGAACCGAATTATGCTGTACGACGTGTGTTTTCAGAGAACAGGAAATTTCTCTGTGTGACTATATCAAAACTTGTAGCAAAATGAGCTACGGATTAACAACCATTCAAGCACGAAAGGTAGCATATGATATGGCAATTAAAAACAATATTCCAGTTCCAGCGAATTGGATCAAAGATAAAATAGCTGGACTCCAATGGTTCCGTTCATTTTTAAATAGGCGTGGGAACCTCAGTATACGTCAACCAGAGGATTGCAGTTTATCAAGATTAACATCATTTAATTCACACAATGTCAACAAGTTCTTCGACAATTTACATGCCGTTTATTCTAGATATCCTTCAGCTGTGTCTAATATCAGGATATATAACCTTGATGAGACTAGTACAACAACAGTGCAGAAACGTAAGAAAGTCGTGGCGGAGAAAGGTGTAAAACAGCTGAATAGTTGTACTAGCGGTGAAAGGGGTATTCTTATTACTACATGTGTAATTGTATGTGCGAATGGTAGATTTCTGCCTCCTGTTATGGTTTTCTCACAAAAATATTATAAGGAGCATATGACACAAGGAGCTCCACCATTTCATCAAGTTTAGCAACAGTTCAATTGAAAACCCTTCCATACTGATCTACGACAATCATGAGAGTCACGTAACATATCAAGTTGTTCAACTGGCAAAGGATAATGGTGTAATCATACTGACTCTGCCTCCACATTGTAGTAACAAACTGCAACCCTTGATGTTTCAATTTTCTCTCCCTTTAAAGCGTATTACAATGCCGCTATAGACTCATGGTTGCTGAACCATCCTGGTAAACCTATTTCAATATACCAGATAGCACAATGTGTAGAGAGGCACATATGAAAGCATTAACACCTACTAATATTCTGTCAGGTTTTAATAAAACGGGAATTTTTCTCCTTAATAGAGACATTTTTTCTGAAGCTGACTTCATTGGCAGTTCTGTGACTGATAGACCAAATGAAACTGAACAGCCAAATCCACAACCAGAGTCGACAGAAATGTCTAGTGTGCTTTCCAATCAAGTTATATCATCCTCATCGAAGACACCTGAAAATCAAGAATTATCCTACCAAAGACACCTGAAAAACCGATAATGTCTCAAAACTCTAAGTCAATAGTATCATCTGCGAATTCAAGTTCTTTCATCTCCCCTCATGAGTTTAAAGGATTTCCAAAAGCAGAAAAGAGAAAAGGTGTGAAGGCAAGGAAAACTAAAAAGAGTGCAATTTTAACTAACACACCTGACTTGAATAAGTTAAAACTGCAAGCAACAACCAAAAAAAATTACTATAAAAAAATAAACGTAGAGACAGCACTTCATCCAAGGAGAGTGAAGAACTAATCAATTACGATGATTCTTCTGGCGATGAATGTGAAAATGTACAGTTGGAAGACGATTATGGCATTGATGCTAGTACAGAAATTTCCATTGATAGTTTTGTATTAGTGAAATCTGAAAACAATATATTTTATATTGCTAAAGTTCTCAATACACTAGACGATAATGAATTTAAAGTGTCATTTTTAAGAAAAAGTGGTAAGCTTCAAGGCTGCTTTATTTTTCCTTAAGGCCATTCCTCGCGATTCTGGGCATAACTAAATTCCAATGTAAAAGTTTATATCAAATAACGCAAAAACTATGGCAGATATTGAGATGATTCTTTTTTTATATGAAAGGTCTTAAAAAGTTCTAGTGCACTATTTGGTTGTAAATTAATAAATTGTTTAAACAATATTTTTTTTTTAAATATTTTTGGTTAAAATAAACGTAAATTTTTTTTTTTGAAATAGGGCACTACAGAATTTTACCCACTTTCCGAATCTGTTTTTATTTTTAACATAAAGTGTAACACAAAGCAGCTATTTCATATAAACTATTTAAAAAATGTTAAATTGTGCTAAATGTACTCTCTCTCTCGGTCAGTACAAGCTGTCCTTGTTGATAGTTTCTGGACTCTCGCCGACGAGTAGGTAAGAAAGACGGAGGGTCATAAATAATGTTGAATAACATTATTAGGGCTTATTTCGACTTTTGACTAGTTTTGACAAACCAGTGTGTTTTGTTGTTTTTAAAATGGGTAGTTCGCGAAGACGTTTATGTTCCGGACGAAAAAGTCGACGACGATTGAGGAAATTTTATATAAATAAGCAGTAAGTACCTATAATTTGATTAAATTTTTATATGAATAGAAATATTTTCTGTTGTTTGTGACATTTTCCTTCTAAATGTTTATACTGTTTTTATAATAATACTATTGTTTCAGTATTTATTTATATAATTATAATTTATTATGTAGAAACAGAGTAGAATTTTGGTCAATCGGTCAGTACATTTTTTTGTATTTCAATCAGAATTATTATTTTCTTTTCTTCTTTACATGAACTCAGAGTAATACCCAAATATTTTGCAGTATTTGAATATGGAATTTGATTAATTATATTTATTGGACTATTTATTTTGAACGTTTTTGTTAGTAAAGTTTACATAATATATGAAGTTTGTTTCGTCACTTGCTTGTCCAGTCATATTAGTCCAGAGTAATAAGGATTTTCTCGTGACAATCAATAATCCAGGTAGCTGACAACTATTTTAGTTATTGTAGACATATAAGAACAAAACCTACCTGTTTCCTGCCTAAAGTTCGGAGCCGTTTTTTAATGATTTAATGTAATGCAAGAAACGCGATTTTTTCCACTTCATTAGAAAGCTAAATACTTGACATAAAATTACAAAATTTTATTTTTTAGAATATTGACAAAGCTTCAAAATGCTGATTTTTGTAAGTTGAAAAGTCAATTTGTTGCTTTGCAAACTGCAAAATAAGTGACAATTGATATTTGTTAAAAACTTTGAATACAACAACTTTACTTTAGAGTTCCAGCGAAGGTTGGGTATTGGGATACTTAACAAACCCTCAAAATTTGGAACCGATATATTAATTAGTTTAAAAGTTATTGTATTTGTTTATCCCAGAGGTCTTTTTTTACAATAAAATAAGACAGAAAATAATAAAGATAGGGTAATGCCGTGGGCGACAAATGAAAGCAAAAGATACTATCAATATGTATTAAAAAATGATAAAAAAATGATTTATTATAATCAAAAATCCTGATGCCAAATTTTTGAAATTATCTAGTTTATAAACATTTAGAACTTTAAAAACATTGTCCTTAGAAGAAATCTTTTTTTACATTCGAAAAGCTAGTATTTTCCCCGAATTTTCAAATAAAAAAATTTGACCTAGGTTAATTAATTTGGGCCAAAGTTAGCCATGTTTTTTTGTTAATTCACAGCTAATTTGATTATAATAATTAAGGAACCTCTTTGACGCCACGATAAAGAATGGGATTTGTATTTTTTGATAAAAAATTTGCACAAATGTTGTACCTTTACAGGACCTTCTACGAATTTTAAAAATGTAGTTCAAATGGTGATTAGGAAGAACCTACAAATTCATGGAGTACAAATCCATACCGAACAAACAATTTCAAACTAATAAAATTTTCTATATCTCCGGTTCTACTCAATGGATTTTGGAAAACCAACCTATATTTGGTTTTTCCTCATTTACCATTTCTAATTAGGACCACAAGTCCTAATTCATTTGCCACTTCTATTATTGTTGGGTCTTCACTATGTAGTTGACAATGTAGATTTTGTTCATTGTCTATGTTGTAACCTCCTTCAATATCGTGTATATAATATATTATATAAATATATATATATATATATATATATATATATATATATATATATATAAAAATATGTATATATATATATATGTATAAAACGTCTTCCGACGTCCATTTTTCATTGAATTCGGTTATTCCATTGTTCTTTAAGTACTTTCGAGCTCATT